GGCGTCAGGGAAGCCGCCATGTGGAGCTGAGCAGGCGTTGGCCAGAGAGGTGGGTTAGGGGCGGGAAGAGTGTTCTTGGCAGAAGGAGCAGCAGGTGTGGAGGCCCTGGGGTGAGAGGGAGCCGGGCAGCTGGGGCCTGGGCGGGAATGAGTGTAGCTGGGGGTGGGGGTGGGCAGTGAGGGCTGTGCTCACAGGGCAGGGGCTGCTGGCGGGGGGAACGGGACTGTTGAAGGACTTTAAGCAACGCGGTCGGGTTTGCAGGAGGTGGCTGCCCCTGGCTGCCGTCTGGAGGGGGCCAGGGTAGGAGCCCAGGTGAGTGGACTAGGGAGGGGCCAAAGGGCCGGGTCTGGCCACAGTTAAGATTAAGGGTTAGATTCGACCCTCAAAGACTGATTTTGGATGTTCTCCCATTTTTCTTTAAAGAAAAGCATGGCAGCCCGGATGGTGTGGCTCACTGGTCGAGAGCATCAACCTATGAACCAGAAGGTCATGGTTCAATTCCCAGTTGGGGTACATGCCTGGGTTGCAGGCTCGATCCCCAGCAGGGGGTGTGCAGGAGGCAGTCAATCAATGATTCTCTCTCATCATTGATGTTTCCATCTCTCTCTCCCTCTCCCTTCCTCTCTGAAATCAATAAAAACATATTTTTTTAAAAAAGAATACCATCCAGGCCCCTACCAGGCTCACGAAGCAGGCTGTTCGCTACCCGCTGCTGCCCCTCAGAGCCTCCTCACTCCCAGCCCTAGGTGCCCACCCCCAAGAGAGTGCCACCACGTCCTGCATCTGCATGTATCTCTCCATGCATTTTCATGCTTTTACAAATACGTGATCTAGTTTTGAATCTTCGCAACTTTATTTAAATGGTATCTAACTGTTCTTCTGTAACTTGCTTTTTTCTCAATATAATGATTAAACAAAAAGAGTTATAGCCCTGGCCGGTTTGGCTCAGGGGTTAGAGTCTTGGCCTGTGGACTGAAGGGTCACGGGTTCGATTCTGGTCAAAGGCATGTACCTAGGTCGCAGGCTTGATCCCAGTCGGACATGTGCTGAGGCAACCAATTGATGTGTCTCCCTCATGTCCATGTTTCTCTCTGTCTCCCCCTCTCCCATCCACTCTCTCTGAAAATCAACGGGGGGAAAATATCCTCGGGTGAGATTTATGGTTGGAGATGGAGAGCAGCTGGTTCCTCCACGAGATATTTAAGTATATTAGCGATAATAATAACGCTGGCATTTACATTGCATTTCGTGTGCCACCTCTACTCTCAGTGCATTGTTACCTCACTTAATTCTCACTGCCATGCTATGAGATGTTATTACCCTACCCTTCTTGCTGATGGGGAAACTGAGGCACACAGCTTTACATAACGAAGTCACTGGGCTGGTGGAGCCAGGCTGTGGGCTCAGGCAGACTCCGCCGCTGCCTGGGAGCTGGGCCCCGTGCTGTCCTGGGCAAGGGTGAGCTGTGCAGGGGGTGGGACCCTGACCCTAAAGCCAGCACCTTCCCTCTGCTCCCCGAAGGAGATGAGGTGGGTGGATGCTCCCCACATACTCCCAGCCTCGGAGCCACCCCGCATGGGCAGGTCCCTCATATCCCGTCCCCCTGTGAAGCTGCCCCAAACCACGGCTCTCTCTGAAAATCAACGGGGGGGAAATATCCTCGGGTGAGATTTATGGTTGGAGATGGAGAGCAGCTGGTTCCTCCACGAGATATTTAAGTATATTAGCGATAATAATAACGCTGACATTTACATTGCCACCTCTACTCTCAGTGCATTATTACCTCACTTAATTCTCACTGCCATGCTATGAGATTTATTACCCTACCCTTCTTGCTGATGGGGAAACTGAGGCACACAGCTTTACATAACGAAGTCACTGGGCTGGTGGAGCCAGGCTGTGGGCCCAGGCAGACTCCGCTGCTGCCTGGGAGCTGGGCCCCGTGCTGTCCTGGGCAAGGGTGAGCTGTGCAGGGGGTGGGACCCTGACCCTAAAGCCAGCACCTTCCCTCTGCTCCCCGAAGGAGATGAGGTGGGTGGATGCTCCCCACATACTCCCAGCCTCGGAGCCACCCCGCATGGGCAGGTCCCTCATATCCCGTCCCCCTGTGAAGCTGCCCCAAACCACGGAGACCCAGCCTGCCAGGCCCTCCCAGGCTTCTCACGGCCACTGAAACCTGCCGGCCCTCCAAGCAGGCAGGGCAGCCGGCGCTGTGCCCTCTTCACAGACCAACAAGCTGAGCCCCAGACTGGCAGGGTGGAACTGAGGAATGGAACCAGGTCTAGAATCAGGAGGGCCTGGGCTGGGGTTTGGCTTTGTCACTTCGCAGCTCTGTGACCCTAGGCAGGTGACTTCACCTCTCTGAGCCTCAGTTCCCCCATCTGCAAAGTGGGCCTCCTGGTCTCTCCGTTGAGGGAGCTGAACTGTTTGCACAGGGCTCCTCAGTGCGGAGCCTGGCACAGTGCCTGACAATGAGGAGGGGTAGGCGGGGGACAGGCCAGGCTAATTCTTATTATGGGCGCTAATGAGCCCAGCACGCGGGCGCGGAGCCGGACTGGAACCCCGGGCTCTGCCTCCAGGCTTCGTGCAGCTACAGCAAACCCCACCCGAATCCCAGCACGACAGACGGCGGGGTCTGAGCCCCCATTTTCCTGCCTCACCAGGACCTGAGTGGGGGTGATGGCATCATCCTCTCCCCCACCATCTTGGGAAAAAAAAAAAGAACACCATCCAGGCTCCTACCAGGCTCACGAAGCAGACCGTTCGCTACCCGCTGCTGCCCTCAGAGCCTCCTCACTCCCAGCCCCAGGTGCCCACCCCCAAGAGAGTGCCACCATGTCCTGCATCTGCATGTATCTCTCCATGCATTTTCATGCTTTTACAAATACGTGATCTAGTTTTGAATCTTTGCAACTTTATTTAAATGGTATCTAACTGTACTTCTGTAACTTGCTTTTTTCTCAATATAATGATTAAACAAAAAGAGTTATAGCCCTGGCCGGTTTGGCTCAGGGGTTAGAGTCTTGGCCTGTGGACTGAAGGGTCACGGGTTCGATTCTGGTCAAAGGCATGTACCTAGGTCGCAGGCTTGATCCCAGTCGGACATGTGCTGAGGCAACCAATTGATGTGTCTCCCTCATGTCCATGTTTCTCTCTGTCTCTCCCTCTCCCGTCCACTCTCTCTGAAAATCAACGGGGGGGAAATATCCTCGGGTGAGATTTATGGTTGGAGATGGAGAGCAGCTGGTTCCTCCACGAGATATTTAAGTATATTAGCGATAATAATAACGCTGACATTTACATTGCCACCTCTACTCTCAGTGCATTATTACCTCACTTAATTCTCACTGCCATGCTATGAGATTTATTACCCTACCCTTCTTGCTGATGGGGAAACTGAGGCACACAGCTTTACATAACGAAGTCACTGGGCTGGTGGAGCCAGGCTGTGGGCCCAGGCAGACTCCGCTGCTGCCTGGGAGCTGGGCCCCGTGCTGTCCTGGGCAAGGGTGAGCTGTGCAGGGGGTGGGACCCTGACCCTAAAGCCAGCACCTTCCCTCTGCTCCCCGAAGGAGATGAGGTGGGTGGATGCTCCCCACATACTCCCAGCCTCGGAGCCACCCTGCATGGGCCGGTCCCTCGTATCCCGTCCCCCTGTGAAGCTGCCCCAAACCACGGTGACCCAGCCTGCCAGGCCCTCCCAGGCTTCTCACGGCCACTGAAACCTGCCGGCCCTCCAAGCAGGCAGGGCAGCCGGCGCTGTGCCCTCTTCACAGACCAACAAGCTGAGCCCCAGACTGGCAGGGTGGAACTGAGGAATGGAACCAGGTCTAGAATCAGGAGGGCCTGGGCTGGGGTTTGGCTTTGTCACTTCGCAGCTCGGTGACCCTAGGCAGGTGACTTCACCTCTCTGAGCCTCAGTTCCCCCATCTGCAAAGTGGGCCTCCTGGTCTCTCCGTTGAGGGAGCTGAACTGTTTGCACAGGGCTCCTCAGTGCGGAGCCTGGCACAGTGCCTGCCGATGAGGACAGCTGCCGCCGCTAATTCTTATTATGGGCGCTAATGAGCCCAGCACGCGGGCGCGGAGCCGGACTGGAACCCCGGGCTCTGCCTCCAGGCTTCGTGCAGCTACAGCAAACCCCACCCGAATCCCAGCACGACAGACGGCGGGGTCTGAGCCCCCATTTTCCTGCCTCACCAGGACCTGAGTGGGGGTGATGGCATCATCCTCTCCCCCACCATCTTGGGCTTGGGGCCCACTTGGCATCCGGCTGGAAGCCCACGCAGCACAGCCTGCACCCGTAGCAGATGGGGAAGTGGGGGGCGCAGTCATGTTCTCCTGATTCAGTCACGGTGGGGAGGGGGCCGCACACGATCCGGCGAGGTGCCCCCCCCCCCCCCCCCCCCCCCCCCCGCGGAGCTGGTGGCTCTGACAAAAGAACAGCTGTGAGCCCGGCTCCCTCAGCCCGTGCGGTTCCCTCGAAACCGTGTCTGTGTGAGCAGCAAGCACTCCGCGTCCTGCCCCGTCCTGCCAGGTCCCTCTCGCTCCGAGGGAGGACGATGCGTTGCTAGAGAGAGAAGGCTTTGGCTCCAGAGGTGACAGCTTTGCCTGGCCCATCGTGGAAAACTCAAAAGGACTCTTGCCTCAGTTTACCTGTCTGTGAAATGGGGACACTCGCAGTACCAACAAAAAAAAGGAGCTGTCAGGATTCGTGAGTAAATACATGTAAAGTGCCAAGGATGGGCCTGGCACACACTTCAGATGTGTGCCCCTCATGCCAAGCTTGGCACCGTGGAAGGAGGGAAACTGAGGACAGAGCAGTGCTGGGACCGAGGACAGCCAACCGCGGCACTGAGATGGGGTGCACTCTATGAGTTGCCTCAGCCCACGGTTTCCGGGAAGTCCAGCCCCTCCCAACGCAGGGTGTGGCTGGCCCTGTCCCGCCGTGGGCGGAGGACAGAGCAGTGCTGGGACCGAGGACAGCCAGCCGCGGCACTGAGATGGGGTGCCTCTATGAGTTGCCTCAGCCCATGGTTTCCCGGAAGTCCAGCCCCTTCCAACGCAGGGTGTGGCTGGCCCTGTCCCGCCGTGGGCTGTCTGTGGTCAAGGGAAGATTCTGGAGGTAGCAAGCTCCCTGTCTGCTGATGTGTTCAAGCCTCGCAGTTTGCATTCTGCTTGTCCAGTCCGCGAGGGCCTTTACTTCCTTTTTTCTATCCTGGGGGTGAACAGAGAGGGGCCAGTGGTCCCTGTTTTACAGAAGGGGAAACTGAGGCATTGTGTTCAGTCAGCACCAAAGTCAGGATTCCTAGGACCCTGGGGCGTGAGAAGGGGTCTTTCGGACAGGGGTGTCAAAGTCAGCCCACCTGCCCCGATCTCGGGGTGGCGTGGCAGAACGGAGTACCAGTCCCTCCAGCTCCTCAGCCCCAGACAGGAATTGCAATAAACACGCTCGTCAGGATTCCTGGGACCCTGGGGCATGAGAAGGGGCCTTCGGGTAGTGAAGGTTAGTATGACAGGGGTGTCAAGGTCAGCCCACCTGCCCCCAATCTCCGGGTGGCGTGGCAGAACGGAGTACCAGTCCCTCCAACTCCTCAGCCCCAGACAGGAATTGCAATAAACACGCTCTGCTCATTGGCATTTACCACTTAATCGTCCCCACAAACCTTCTGAACAGCGACAGTTGCCCCCGTGTTGCATGTGAGGAACCAGGGGTTCAGAGAGGTAGAGGCATTTGCTCAGGGTCACACAGCAGGCTGGTTCTCCAGCTGGATTTGAACCCTGGGCTGTCTGACTCCAGAGTTGGCGACCTTAACCACATACCACCCTGGATGGCTACAGCACTGGAGCCTTATCCCAGAAGCCCCTGGTCTGCCCCGTGCCAAAGCTTGGCGAGTGAACGGGTGAAGACGAAGACAGCCTGCCCTTCAAGGACCCGTCAGGGGCAGCTTCAGTCATGAAGGAGTGCGCTGTAGGTCCTTGAGGGCGGGAGCCAGCTCGCTCTCAGCTGCCAGCACACACCTGTCTGACCACAGTCGGGCTGGATTTGGATCCTGAGCTGTCAGACTCTATGATCTTTCGTTTAAAGTATATTTTTATTGATTTTAGAGAGAGGGAGAGAGAGAGACAGAAACATCAATGATGAGAGAGAATCATTGACTGGCTGCCTCTTGCACGCCCCCTACTGGGGATCGAACATGTAACCCCGGGCATGTGCCCTGACCGGGAATCGAACCGTGACCTCCTGGTTCATAGGTCAACACTCAACCACTGAGCCACACCAGCCGGGCTGATTCTATGATCTTAAGGTGCCGGCTAGACACCCAGTTTGTTGCCTGAAGCTGGCATTGCTGGCTCCATTCTGCATACGGGAAGCTGAAGCTCACCTGGGGTCACTCAGCGGGGGTGGTGGGGGTCTCTGAGCCCCGAGTCCCTTCCCCTCCTCCTTCAGAGTGACCTCACATACCCTTTCTCTGCCCCGAGAGCAGCAGGAGCTCCCAGCCCGCGTGAACTTCTCAGCTGCCCCCGCCCCTGCGCCCGTGGTGCCCACCGCCCTGCACTCCAAGATGGACAAACTGGAGGGGCAGCTGCTGGCCAAGGTGCTGGCACTGGAGAAGGAGCGTGTGGCACTCAGCCACAGCAGCCACCAGCAGCGGCAGGAGGTGGAGAAGGAGCTAGGCGCCCTGCAGGACCGCATAGCCGGACTGGAGCACGGTGGGTCCTGGGCCCCGCCATGGGCGGAGCAGGCAGGGCCTTGGTCCTGGGGGGGCGGGGGAGGGCGGGGAGTCACTGGGAAAACATTTTCATGCTCTCCAGCTGCTGAAGATACAACAGTGGGGAGGAGCTGGGAAACAGAGGGAGAGACTTGCTGGCTATCACTACCATTATTTTCTATCATTATCATTATTATGAAGTTTGTCTTTTCTGGCACCTGTTATATATCGGGAGGGAGCTAAGGACTTGACACATCAGCTGTCACGTCCTTGTGGTTTAATCTTCACAAACCACAGAGGGATGGTACTATTGTTGTCCCCATTTCACAGATGAGGAAACTGATGCTCAGAGAGGCCAAGTGACTTATCCAGGGTCACACAGCCAGTGGGTAGTGGATCTAGACTTCAAACTGAATCCGATTCCAAAGTTCATGCATTTAAGCACCTCCCCCCACCCCACTCACACACACACACAAAATATCACCTTCAGGGAATCAGAATTTTGTCATTTAACACCTGGGCCTGGCATGCCAGGGTGTCAGAGCAACATGACCTAATGGACAACATACAGGTATGAGCATCAGGAGACCTAGTTCCTGGTTCCCCGGCTGTCACTGACGTGCACTGTGACTTTGGAAGTTTGCTTCCTTTCCCCAGGCCTCGTTTTCCTCATCTGAAAAGTAGAGATTTAGGGTTCACAAGCTCTCAGGGATCTTTCATCTTTGAAACCTTGTGAGGACCACCCATAGAGGATTATGGACAAGTTGGGGATACCAGGAAAACCATGAGCATTTAGCTGGGACTGGCTTAAATGTAGGACAGGAATTCTGGAGGAAGAACCTTTCATCTTTGAAACCTTGTGAGGACCACACATAGGGGATTATGGACAAGTTGGGGATACCAGGGAAAACCATGAGCATTTAGCCTGGAACTGGCTTAAATGTAGGACAGGAATTCTGGAGGAAGAAATCTGGGAGGCTTCCCGGAGGAGGTGGGCCTCAAGTTAGTCCTTGAAAGCAGAGGTGGAGAGTGAATTGTGGAGTGAAGGGGCCAAAGCAGGGACACAACTGAAGGGAAGCATAGCAGGTGCCTAAGGACTAGTACACCTCCCCCCGCCCCCGGTCTGGAGTATGCTCTGCCCACCACACCCTCATCAGTGTCCACTGACTCCCACTGTTTCCACCTTGCCCCCCCCCCCCGGCCCCCGCAGGGTCCTCAGCCTACAGCCCTCCTGACGCCTTCAAGATCAGCATCCCCATTCGCAACAACTACATGTACGCCCGCGTGCGGAAGCCGCTGCCCGAGCTCTACGCCTTCACCGTCTGCATGTGGCTGCGGTCCAGGTCGGGCGGCACTGGCCAGGGCACCCCCTTCTCCTACTCAGTGCTGGGGCAGGCCAATGAGATTGTGCTGCTGGAGGCAGGCCCCGACCCCATGGAGCTGCTGATCAACGACAAGGTCAGTGGGGATGGGCAGACCACAGGGATGGGGACAGGGTCACCCTCAGGGGGGGCCCTCTCCGTTCTCCCGCTCAGCGTACGCAGCACACGTGCCAGGCCTGCTGCCCGCCAGGCTGGGCTCCGGGACACAGTGACAAGCCAGACCTGGGCTGGCTGAAGAGGGGCTCGAGTCCCAGAGAGGCTGCGGGCGTGGGGCTGCCATTTCCAGGGGAGGCTCAGGGAGATTCTGTGACTTCCCCAGCGACCAGCTCTAGGAGCAGGGCTGGAAGCATCTGCCTCAGGGTCCTGCTCGTTCTCCTGGACAGAGAGAGAGGTCCAGGGACCCCCCAATGGAGAGGCCACTCCCAGGACCCAGCAGAAGCCTGCTGTGGGTGCCCTGGAAGAGGAGGAAGGAGATGGGCCCAGAGGCGGGAAGTTTTTCTGAGACCCAGTAGGTCCTGAGAAGACCTGGGAAGGTGGACTACATCTAGATCAGTGGTTCTCAACCTTCCTAATGCCACGACCCTTTAATACCGTTCCTCATGTTGTGGTGACCCCCAACCATAAAATTATTTTCATTGCTACTTCATAACTGTAATGTTGCTACTGTTGTGCATCGTCATGTAAATATCTGATAGGCAGGATGTATTTTCATTGTTACAAATTGAACATAATTAAAGCATAGTGATGAATCACAAGAACAATATGTAATTATATATGTGTTTTCCGATGGTCTTAGGCGACCCCTGTGAAAGGGTCGTTCGACCCCCAAAGGGGTCGCGACCCACAGGTTGAGAACCGCTGATCTAGATCCTGCTAACCGTGTTCCTTCATCACCCCTGGCTGCCATCCTTGGCTCTGCCCAAGGTCAGCACTCAGGTCTTAGGACTTCAGCACCCTGGACAGGGCACAGGGCAGTCCCATTCCGGGAACCTCCCCAGTCCTTGACTCCTTCCTCCAAGCCTCTGCTCCTCGGTGCTCCCCGCTCGCTTTCCCTCGTGTGGATGGGTCAGAGTCCATAGTCCTCCAGGTGTGTTTAGACGCCATGTCTTTGTTCCCACACCCCCTCCTCCTCTGGGCCTTTATCGGCTCTGCACCTCCCAAATGGCCCTGCGTTAGCTCGTCTTGTAATTCTGTTCCCGACGCCCTTCCCGCGGTGCAGACTCCGCTCATTTACAGCTGGGACCAGAGTCTTATCCCCAGAACGAGGCCTCGGCAACGTGGCACTGAATTGTGATCTCAGAACCGAGGAGATGAAAGAGCCCTCTGGGAGCTCCACATCCACAGGCAGCGAATGCCTTTCGCCTCACAGGCCAAGGCTAATCGATCAGCAGTGGCTCCGAGAGCACTGCAGCGGGAAGATTCTGGGGCAGAGTCTAGGCTCGTGACTGATTAGCCATGTCTGCCCTGGGTGGAGGAGGCGGAGTGGCTGCATGTTGGCCATTCCTTGCCTGACCTCCTCACTTCACAGATGAGAAAACCAAGACCAAAAGGAAAGGGCAGACCCCACAGGGTCCCACGGGGGGGTCGGCAGAGCCAGGGCCGATGCCAGCGCCCCGCCCGAGTCCACGGCGTGTTCCGCCACTGCCTGCACTTTCTGCGCCCAGCTGTGCGCCGGGCACTGTGTGAGGTGTTCAGGGGAAGGGAGGATGGGAGATGCGGCTCCCACCCCACATGACCTTACAGGCCTGTGGGTGAATAAACTACCCGGAAACAAATGAAAACCAACATTGACTGGTCCCTTGTGGTCTGGGTGAAGCTGTCTGGTTAGGTCGTGGGGAAAGAGGAAAGAGTGTGGGGAAGACGCTGGCTGGGAGGGGGGAAGGGTCAAGCCTTGGGTCAGTCCCTGGAAGGAAGGGCATGGTGCTCCTGGTCCCCCCCAACTGCTCCAGCCTTGGGCCTTGTGACCTCTGACCTGGAGCTGGGGGGGTCTGTGTCCAGGTGGCCCAGCTGCCCCTGAGCCTGAAGGACAACGGCTGGCACCACATCTGCATCGCCTGGACCACGAGAGATGGCCTGTGGTCTGCCTACCAGGACGGGGAGCTGCGGGGCTCCGGGGAGAACCTGGCTGCCTGGCACCCCATCAAGCCTCATGGGATCCTTATTCTGGGCCAAGAACAGGTAAGGCTCAGGGTGATACCCAAGCTTGAGGCCCAAGTAGAAATCCCATCCACCCAGGGCCCTGAGGAGCGGGGGGCCAGGCAGAGGGACCCTGAAAGCACAGCAGTGATCACTAGGTCTGACCCAGCCATTGGAGACCTGCCCAAGGGGCTAGAGCTTTAGGGGCAGGGCTAGCAGCTTAGGGGCGGGGCTAGAACCTTAGGGGCAGGGCTAGCAGCTTAGGGGCGGGGCTAGAACCTTAGGGGCATGGCTAGCAGCTTAGGGGCAGGGCTAGAACCTTAGGGGCAGGGCTAGCAGCTTAGGGGTGGGGCTAAAGCCTCAGGGGCAGGGCTAGCAGCTTAGGGGCGGGGCTAGAACCTTCGGGGGTGGGCTAGAACAAGGGGGAGGGGCTTCCGCTGGGACAGGGCCTGCCTATCTCTTTTCTGCACCCTCACTCCATGTCCCTCTCCTTTTTCTCTGCTCTCTTGGCCCAGGATACTCTGGGAGGTCGATTTGATGCCACCCAGGCCTTCGTGGGTGACATTGCCCAGTTTAACCTGTGGGACCACGCCCTGACATCTGCCCAGGTTCTGGGCATCGCCAACTGTACTGGGCCGCTGCTGGGCAACGTCCTGCCCTGGGAAGACAAGCTGGTGGAGGCCTTTGGGGGTGCAACGAAGACCGCCTTTGATGTCTGCAAGGGGAGGGCTAGGGCATGAGGGGCCACCTCGTCCAGGGCCCCTCCCTCGCCTGCCAATTTGGGGACCTTACAGGAGGGGGGCACATTCCCCCCCAGCCTACCCACACACTGGCCTCCCCTCCTGCTCACTCCTGACCATGCCTTTCATTTCCCCCACCTACACCCCCACCTCCAGCAAGCCTGCCCTGCGATGCTGTCCCCCGATCCCACCTGGGGTGAGTCCAGGGCCTGCAGGGGTGGGTAGCAGTGCCCACCCCCTGACATTATACCACAGCCCTCTCTTACCCCCACCACCCCCTCTTCCATTGACCACATCTGAATTCACTGATGTCAACAGCATCCCATGGAGCTGTTGCCGGGGAGGGCCCACTGTCCACCGATGGCCCCCATGCAACAGGCCTGACCCTTCCCCTTCAGGGCTGCAGAGCAGCCCCTGCTGAGAAGGGGAGGGCAGAGACCTAGGAGATTCAGACTGACCCTCCTCCCCTCTCCACCAGCTGCAGTCAAGGGCAGCGGGATCTTGATGGGCCCTCTACCCCACACCCACACCCCGCCTGTACCCACCCCCTCTCCTCCTCCTCCTTCCTCATTGCTTTGTGTGCAGTGGATTGAATGTTGGTTCCATGCCGTCCAAGCCCCACCTCCAGGACATTCCCTTCCCAGCTCTGGCCTGGAGGGTGAGGGGCCAAGACCCCAGGGGGGCACAGGGCCAGAGTCACCCCTGTGCCCACCCACAGCTGTGTCCACTCTGTGGCTAGGACGGGGCCTGGGCCACTTCGGCCTGAGCTAGGAGTGGCACGAGGCAGAGGCCCGGTGCCCCCGGGGACCAGGCCCTGGCAGAGCCCCAGTACCACCGTCTCTGAGGAGGGAAGGGGCACCTTCTCACTGACCAGGATGCATCAGGTGTCTCGTCAGGTGTCGTGCATCAGGAAGGAGCGCCCATGAGAAGGAGCCGCCCTGGTTCCCTGCCAGCTCTGCTGTGTGGCCTTCTCTCAGTCCCTGCCCCCTCTGGGCTAGCCTTCCTCATTTGTGAGCATTTGAGATGGTCTGTGATTTCTGGTGAATAAGGTGGGGCAAGCCTGAGAACTTTCCTGGTGACCAAGGGCATGGCAGGGGCAGGTCCTGGGACGGGCAGCACGTGGGGCCTGGCTAGGCACGGGTCAGGGCCAGCAGCTGGCTCAGAGCATCAGAGGCAAGGGCAAGGGGCCAGGCAGCCCCACCTCATGTGCATACTGTAAACACCAGCTCTTCTGCCCGCCCCCCCCCCCCAGCCTGGCACTCTGGCCTGTCTGAGTGCGTCTCAATGGGCTGGTGGCTTCCTGGTCCCCACCCTTGAGTCCTCACCAGCTCCCCCATGGGCGTGAAAGAATGTCAGAGCTGACAGGGGAGAGCTCAGAGAGGGCAAGTGAGTTGTACAGGATCACCCAGCACAGTGGGGCAGAGCCCAGACTAGAGCCCAGGCTCTGACTCCCTCCTCAGTGCTCTTCCCCCACCCCATCCTGCCTGCCGTGAGGGGCTCTGAGTCCAGCCTACACCTCGAGGGGCCACACCTGAGAGGCCGGAATGCTTCCCAACATGACCACCCGAGCATCTTCCTCCATGAAACTCGTCTGGGCAGCCCCTACCTCCTGGGAGGCCTGACCCTGGCATCGTGGCAGGAACGGGGAGCTGAGGACACAGTGGTCCCTCCCCTGCCAGTCACCTACCAGGTCTGGGCAGCTGCGAGCTACCTGACTCGAGTGGGCACTGGTGCCTTTTGCCCGTTTTGCTCCTGGTCTCACCCCCACTGCCACTTAGCTTGAGGCAGGACGTAAGAGCTGCGGGCTGTGGGGGCTCTTCTGAGACTGTGGCCTCCAGCCCCCCAGATCCTGGTCCCCATTTAAAGAGCAGGAGTAGACCTTTCGGCACCTCCGGTCAATTATGCATGACCTCGGGCCACAGACTTGGAAGAAGCCAGGAGAAGGAGCGATGATGGCGTGCTTCAGCCAGAACCTGCTGGGATCTAGGTTGCCCTGGTAACAGCCAATGACATCAGCCCAAGTACTGGGTCAAGTATCTCCTAGTGACATGCGCTGTTGCTGGGGTGATGGCAGAATTGGGAACTTGTACGTCAGGGGCATGGCCACCGGGCCGTATTGGGTTTCTATTTTTGTTTTTAAGGAAGCAGCTGTTGTGAGGTCTTGGGGGAGAGAATGGGTCTTAGGATGGAGGTGACAGGACTTGCTTGGTCGCTCGAGCCCACCCAGAGGACATCCAGGTCCTGTGCGCTTTGTCATGGTGATGAGACGCCTGATGCACCCTGGTCAGCCATCCAGGGGGAACAGGACAAACGGGGGATGGGGGGCAGGCTCTGAGTCTGGGCCATTGGTGAGTGGCCTGGATCCCACTTCCATTCCAGGAAAATGACAGCCCATGTCCCCACCCTTCATACATTGGCCGAGTGCCTGCTGTGTGGATGTCAGCTTTGATCTGCAGCTGCTCCCAGGCACAGCCAAGCAGGAAGAGGATCTAGAAGTGGGGCCCTGAGCTGCTCCTGTCTCATAGCGATGCGGGCTCTTACGTCATTTTAAGTGTCAGGCACTGTGCTGAGCACCCCCTGGGCATCACCTCATTTATCCTCACAATGCTAGGACTCTCCTCATACACGTGTGGAGACGAGCACAGAGAGGCTAGGTAACCTGCCCAGTGTCGATCAGCCAGCAAGTGATGGAGCCCAGAGTTCAAACCCAGGCAGGTTCCCTCGAGGGCCCACGCTCAGCCCCGGGGACAGTCATCCCACGCTGTGGGGTGGGATTTGGGCACCATTGCTCCCAGTGGGTTTCAGCCTGAAGGGCTGTGTCTGGCTCTCTTCTCCCCCTCACCCCGCCCCCCCCCCGCCCCCAGAGTTTCAGGTGGA